AAACTCCAATCAATTACTATAGTAAAACGAAAACTACAAGTCGAATTCAGTAAAAACACGCTAATTAAATCCTGTATTGGAACTACATTTGAGCAATTTTATGAAACTAGTACTGTCGAAAATCATATCACAACTTGGAAACGCTCCTACAAAGAAAAGTTACATAGACCGAACATTTGATCCTGGCTCGTTTTTACACGTGTCACTGACCTTTTTGTTCAATAATTACTCTACTATCATCGATTTGTGCCAGTACTGATCGCACAAAATCACTGCAATATTTAGTTAGCGTGCTTTTTCTAAATTCAATTTGTAGTTATCACTTTACAATACTGGCTTATTCAAATTTGACCATGAGTAAAACTATTTTGATTCTAACTTTCTTAGATGCAGATATTTTATCTCGAAACTATAATGAATATGCGATCAAATTGTAAAAAAAATACTTAAATACCTTGAATTGCTGAAGAGCTATCCACGGTTTTTTTTTTCGTTCGGGCTATTGGAATATTCTGTATTTAGCAAGCGAATGGTAGCGATGTTAATCTATTCTATTCTACTCCGACCTGTTATTTATATGCATTAAATAAAGCCAATCAAACATGGACAACGAAGACAGATGATTTCTTTCCAATTTCCTTTAGTCAACATGGTCTTTGGACTGGATATTTTACTTCAAGACCGGCATTGAAAAGATATGAACGTTATTCAAATAATATTCTTCAAGTAACAAGACAACTTAATGCATTTTCCAATAGTACATTACGCCAAGCAATTTTTCCTCTAAGTATAAATAGAAGAAAAAAAGAACAGATTTTTTTTATGTAATGAAAAAAAAATATAAATATACATGTATAGATGAAGCAATGGGTATTGTTCAACATCATGATGCAGTTTCTGGAACAGAAAAACAACATGTTGCTAATGACTATGCTCAACGTTTATCAGAAGGCATTGATTCAGTTATTGTAAGAAAATTGATATATAGCAATTGATGATGAGGTGTTTTTTTTTTCTTTATTCTAGTATGTTATTAATGAAGCTTATAAAAAATTATTATCGAAAGAAAATCAATCATTACCAGTACCAACTCAATTTCTCTGTCATTTTTCAAATATTAGTGAATGTTTACCCATTGAAGGACAAGATAGTGTAAGTGAAAACATAGGTTTTTTTTGTTAACATCATCTGTCAATGGAATATATTCAATAGTTTACATTAACAATCTGGAATCCAACTATTCAACCCATTGAGGATATGATTCGTGTACCAGTAACAAAGAATTATACGATACGAAATCCAACTGGTGAATTTATTGTAGCTGAAGTAAATTTTTATTGAACAATTTCGTTTCTACTTTCAGTATTATTTGTTTGTTTTAATTATTTAGCTTATTCCAATATCTACGCCAATGAAAAATATTCCTGGTCGAACAAGTTCTGCTCAATATGAATTATTATTTCGAGCACCTATACCTGCTCTTGGTTTTAATACTTATTATTTTCAAGTTAAAAGTAAAAAAAAATAAAAAAATAACAATTATTCAGTTTAATCTATGATTTATTTTCATTAGCTGACATTACGATAGAGAAAAAATCTACAATAAAAGTAACACATAATGAAGCATGTATACTTCAAAATCAAGTAATACATGATTGAAAAATAAATGTTATATTTTGTTTTTTATTTTAATTTTATGTAGCATCTTCGAATTGAATTTGATGATCAAGGCAATTTAAATAATATTACTAATCAAAATAGAAATTTTACTGTGTTATTTTCTGCTCAAGGTTTATATTGGTATACAAGTAAATATTAATAATTATTAGTTTAATGTATTATTATTCTTTCATGATATTTTTCTTATATTAGGTTTTCCGGGTAATAATTCTAGTCCAGAATTTCAAGCATCAGGTGCTTATTTCTTCCGACCATTAACATCTAATACATTGCCTGTAAGCAATTCACGTAATATGTCAGTATAAAATAAAGTTTGACAAATTTTTCAGTCATAATAATTTAATTTAATTTTTATTAGAACATGTACTTATACAAATCAAGTGCAAAAAGCATTGATTATATATAATAATTGGGCTAGTCAAGAAATAAAACTCTATGATGGTGCAAGAATAGCTGAAATTGAATGGATTGTTGGACCGATACCAATTGAAGATAATATTGGTAAAGAAATAATTATGCGTTATGATACAGATATTCAAAGTAATGGACTTTTTTATACGGATGCTAATGGACGTGAAGTATTAGAACGTAAAAGAGATTATCGATCAACATGGAATTATACAGTATATGAAAATGTTAGTGGAAATTATTATCCTATTGCTAGTCGTATTTGGATTAAAGATAATAAACGACAAATAACTATACTTACAGGTATAAATAAAATTTTATTTTACAACTTTTTTTTAATCATATTTTTTGTTCGCTTGGTTTAGATCGATCGGAAGGTGGTTCAAGTATGCATGATGGTTCTGTTGAACTTATGATTCATCGTCGTACACTCTATGATGATTCACAAGGTGTTGGTGAACCAATGAATGAAACAGCTTATGATAAAGGTCTTGTAATATGTGGTAAACATTTTCTCATTGTTGAACCACCGGAATATAGTGCTCTTTATCATCGTCCTATTGCTCAACATCTTTATATGAATTCGATTAGTACTTATGCATTACCAAATTTATCTTATGATAATTATTCAAATAGTTTTCGTCAAACATGGTCCGCTTTGACTGAATCAATGCCATATAATGTTCATTTATTGACTTTTGATCAATTGACATCAAAAGTATTTCTTATACGAATTGAACACTATTTTGAATTTAATGAAGATGACACTTATTCCAAATCAGTTGAAGTCGATTTACAGAGTTTGTTTCGTAATTTAGGTAAAATAATTTATTTACTTGAATTAACACTTGGAGGTAATTTACCATTGAATGATATGAAACGACTTGTTTGGCAAACAATCGATAATGAATCATCTTATTCAAAATCAACAGGTAGGAAAAATCATTTTTTTTTGTCATAGTAAATTAATTCATTTGTTTATAATATTTTAGATTCGAATTCATTAAAGAGTACAGTAGTAACACTTAATCCTATGCAAATTCGAACTTTTCAAGTTACATTACAATAAATAAAATCTACGAATATAAATTTACTTTTATTTTTTCTAAATGAAATAAAAAATATTAATTAACCATCAAATGAAAGAAAATACTTTCTATGCCATATGTCCACATTGTTGAAAAGATAATTAAATATCAGTCATTTGATTTCATTTTTTTCAAGATAAAATACTTATTAGAATAGTAAACTTGATAACAGAAATAATCGAAACTCTGAACAAAAATTCAGAAACTACAATTGGCGGCGCAAGAATTCAAGAGACTAGAATGTTTTTTGAATAACGTCCGATAGAAACAAGATAGAGACCTGCAGTTTTCACCTTTCGAAAGAAGAATATTCGGGTTATCAATCTATATGGAACTCATTAGGACAAAAGATGTTTTGTTATAGGTGTTTTTGGATCAACACTTTTTTCTTCGCGTATTTTCATCAATTTTCACAATAATCTCAGCTTAAATTATATGAAAACGTAGCTCAAATCTCCCTTTTTTTTGCTATAAAATTATCACATATTCTATTGTCCCTCAATCTCTTGTTCTAAGCAGATTTTCAAAAAAAATGTGACAATTTTATAGCGAAAAAAGGATGATTTAAGCTATATTGTTATATGATTTGAGTTGAAATTATTGTGAAAATTGATGAAAACACGCGAAGAAAAAAGTGTTGATCCAACGACGCCTTTAACAAAGCATCTTTCGTCTTAATGAGTTTTTATATAGATCGATGACCCGAACATCCCACTTTTGAACGATGAAAATCGCATGTCTCTATCTTGTTTCTATCGGAAGTTATTCAAAAAACATCCGAGTGCCTTGAATTCTGGCGCCGATAATAGATGAAGAACAATGAATAATATATCCTAAACGTTTTTTTAGACTAGCTATGCAGCACCATATATTGATTTAATTTGGTTGATAAAACCATATTCCTAGTCGACTCTCCCCAATGAAATCACCGGGACGTTCTCTGAAAAATGCGAAATCCATGGAAAATCCCTGTCGTGAGTCCCCGAAGGAGTTGCATATTTCAGGTTCCTCTTAAAACTCTCCGGAGAATCTCAATAAAATTTTCATAAATTTGAATTTTTCAGAGAATTCCAATAGTGACTTCTAGAGAGACCCTGATAATACTCATCAATTCCCTGGGAAGTCCCTGAATCCCCTCTTAACTCCCCCAAGAACTCACGACAGGATTCCCTGAGATTCTCCTAGGGAGTCTCGACTAGGAATTTGATGGTATTTAAAACCACGCACATCCTTTGTTTAGAGTCTTGAAAGATGACGTTAAAAAGGAATGAAACAAATTTAGGGTTTTTTTATGTCAATGAATGATAGATAAAGTAGTAGCACGATTAAAATTAGTAGTCGATCAGGATGGTAATCAAATACGTGAACATTCATAACTTGACGTGTGTGTGTTTGTTTTTATTTGGAAAAGTTGTAATGATGAATGTTAAAATCGTTTCAGAACTTTTGAAACATTCCCTCATATAAATTTTATATAACAATGTCAATCAAAATTTACGATGAAGTGAAACTATAAAATTCATTAAAACAATATTTATTGATCGTGATATTTTCTATTTTATATGAACAAAAACTTATCTATTGATTGACACATTGTTGTTATTAATAACTTTTTTTTTAATTAAAATCCATACGCTTATCAACCCTATTAAAACAGTTCAAACAAATGTCACGATTTTTGCCTCAATAAATTTCGAAATATAATTATTTTAAATTGTTGATTTGTTGCCATTGACAAGATTATGATATATTTATCATATCTTTATATATATATTTATATTGGTATATATATTTTATTCTATCATTATCTGTTGAACTATAGACATGGTAGACATGCTTGGTGATAATAAAAATATTTTATATCAAGTATTGGCTGCCTATCGACGTTGCTATAAAGTATGGTATACGATCGTACCTATTATTCTTGGTATATTCTCGTTGCTTAGTCTTGGTTTGCTCATTTTTTTAATTCTAAGACTGACTAGTATTAAGCCAAGTTCGACAATAGCATGCATTATTGGCATAGTTGTAACTGGTATTTCTTTTTTTACTTCAACAATAAGTACTATTCGTTTGCTGAATAGACATGAATATTATTATCGTCAGTTGAATTTAATTTTTGATCAAACAACAGGACCAATTGTATGGCGACTCGATGGAAACGAATGGATTACGTAAGAATATCAAAATCTTATGTTTCTTTTAAATTATTTGATTTTATTACAGATATTTAGAATATGTTTTCGGACCTAATCGTTCATCTCAATTTGCCGAAATATTTTCATCATGGTTTTGTCGTCGTAAAAAATTTGCTCGACTTGTTACTCGAGGTTATGGTTATATAATTTTTATTGAAAATGCTATTATTATAGATGAATTGTTTATCTATGATTTAAATCACATATTAATCAACGGTAGCCAACTTATTACTTTTGCAAATCAACAACTTGTACTTCGTATTTATTTTTTACCAAATATTGTTTTTAAGAGTAGAAACAATATCCATAATGATATTGATACTATGTGTCGACAAGTTGATCTCTTTGTACCAAAAGTATTGCGAGAACCAGAAGAACGATTAGAGCAAATGACCGAAATAATAAATACACAATCGAACAATAACCAAAATGCTATTTATAATTTTATCAAAATTCGTGATTTATTTCGATCGTCCATCAAATAAATGAGAATAACTATACTTTAGATTGAGAATAAATTTTAAGGAACTTTTCTTTTTCTCATATTAAAATAAACACATTGTTTAAAAGATTTTTCGAAACAAATACATGAGGAAAATATTAACAAAAATCTGTCGATATAATAAATACTAAAAATCTTGCAACTATTCTGTATATCTTTTGAGGTTGTTGAATTGTCACATAAAAATGAAGACTGTTACTTTTATAATGTTTTTCTTATAAGTCATGGGAACTGATGACTATTAAAATCATTGTTTTATATAAATTCATCTAACATTCGATTTCTGTTTCACAAATCGAAAATAAATAAGTTTCTACTATTTGATAATAGCTGAATAGAAAAGAACAAATGATTGTCAAGTTAATATTTTTATAATTGTGTTCGAAATATAAAATGAAAAAAAAACCATATTTAGATATTTTAAGACGATCCTATGAGAAGAAAAGGGTATTGCGAAGATATCAAAGTCTGAAAAAAAAAGATTTTCAGATGTTTTAAACACCTATTTATTATGAATGATGGAAGAACAGCAACTCTATCTTAAGAAAGTAACACATATTTTTTTAAATCACTCAGGAAACATCATATGTACTAGTGACATTCTCTTTTTTTCTTTCGTTGTCACTCCGAAATTTGATGAAAAAATGGTATCATTGCTTTTTTTTTGATTACACTTGCGATTATCTTGAACAAATTTTCGATCTTGTGTCTCACTAGTCGACGTATGGCATTATTTAGATATTGAAAGCACTTTTGGAAAAATCGATTTGGACAGATTCGATGGAGTTAAGAGAAGACTTTGCGCTGAAAATACTCAAATGAAGCAACTAATAAAGCTCGAATGTCGTCATCACCTACTGATCATTCTCAACGATAGAAAGATTTAATCAAGAGAATTCACGATCTCTGACTTCATGTACCTTATCAAGGTTTTGAACCTTTCATTTCTAAGTATGCATTCGGTCATTTTTTAAAAAGTCTTTCAGCAAAGATGTTATTTTGACAATGTGATGAAATTGTTTTTTTAACCATTTTAAAGTTGCGACACGAAATAATTTTAACTTTTCAGTCATTCGCAATTATGAAAAAAAGCATGTATAATCATACGATTATTTTGCTGACACCTGGATGACTTGTTACGGCACAACATACGTATAAATGTGCCAGAGACTGACTAGTTCATATTCGCGTTCACAGGCATTGTACGACGTGCATGTCTATGCTTACGATGTTTGAATGCAACTAGATTGTGGATGTGAGTCGTCAGTTCTTTCACACCCTTATGCACATACACATCCACTCAGACCTACACAGACACCAAATTTACTTGGAATCTTCTACTTTGGAGGCATATGAATATCGAGTTGGATATCATCTCGATACTTAAATATCTATATAGTTCAGAATTTTGAATGACAAAAAAAAAATTGTGCTACGTCGGAGGATATCGATCAGAAACTATCACTCTACAGCTAGAATTTTGAACCTCGAATCAATTTAATACATTTCTACAACCTTGATATAAACACCTATATTAATTATTTTTTGAAATAGATAGTAGTGCATATCTTCTTTCTGTCATTTCTTGAGGGAATCCCAACTATATACATCTCCAATTAGAAACATGAAATCCTACTCTGTCAATTTCATCATGTTACTTTTTCTTGTTAATTATCCTGTCACATGCATGCCTATAGATAAGTTATGCATACGTGTCTAGATTTGCACTTTTTCAATAGAGACTGACGTCAAAATAAAGTCGTTTTATTACTATACAAAAGGCTATTTACCATTTTGACACCTTGTGAAACCAAGAAGTAGAATAACTAGAAGAAGTTTTATCCATAAGAATGGCTTCATCATCGATAGGCTTAACACTGGCTTTTGTTCAACAAGAATTAACTCGTTATGTTTGTTCAGCGTGGATCCTATTCGGCGTTTCAGGCTGTTTACTGAACGTTATACTTTTGTCGAGACGACAATTACGCATCACATCGTGTTGCAATTGTAAGTCTGATTGATTAAATTAAATAGTATTTGTATAAGTAGCTTTGAACTACTTAGAAATTTTGACCATTGTTTAAAAATGTGAGAAATTAATTAAACGATGTACATTCATCATTGATCTTCTCTTGTTTCTAAAGCAAATACCATGAGTTTTTTTGCTTCTTCGACAAGGATTGTTCGAATTATCAAGGTTTTTTTTTAAATAGAAGATTGCATTTCTCGAAAAATTCCGTTTGTTTTTTTTCTAAATGCATTTTTGACAATGTAAATAGCGGTCACAAAAATCTATGTTGTCAGTTTTTCATTAAATATCAGTCTGTTCGATTTGTTTACTCTTTTGTTTTATCGATTTATTATTAATTTTTGCTATTCATTTAAGATTGTCTGATTGAAGACATTGATTTTTACTCAAAAAAACAAAACAATTGATTTCAATCTGTAACAGTATACCATGTTAAATGGTGTAGCATTTTTCTTCTACTGGTTAAGTCTTTTGACGATTTTTGTGGCGTTATCTTTACTAATTAATCAAACTCAAAAACTAAGCAAAGGCAGTCAATGTAGTTGGTACGAGTGACTTGAACGCATTAGCAAATATTAGTGGAGGAAGGGAAAGGTCTGGGCGAAATCTGATTTTTTTGCTAAGAGTTTAAAAATATTTATGCAGTGAAATACAAGAGAAATTCAAAGATAAGAGTCGTGGTTAACGGAATGTTTTTCGACCAATTATCGCGATATGGAAATGGAATAGATTGATAAACAGATTACAGTAGTGAATTTCGAAGCTTCTCAAATGTAATTAAAAACTCGTCAACTAGAGGATCAGTATAAGTTTTGATTATGATACTGCACGATTACTAGTTTTGAAGTGTTAGATACACATCGACTTCTTTTAATAACAATATTAATAAGAATGAGAAATAGGTTTCTTCATATTCATGAATAGTCCTATGAACACAATAACGTCAGAAGATCGTATATTTCTCTAGGAAATTGAATAATGTTACTAAAATGAACGACGATGTTTAATAAATAAATACATAAAACCATAATCACATAAGAACAACGCTTTTTTTTTACATTGCATTTATTCTTTCGTTCATGTGAACTTTTCAGTAGATTCGACAATCGTTATTTTTAAGATGTCCGTACCTTTCCTAATTGTTTGACTGATAAATAAAATATTTTTATTTTAGCAGTACACAACTTTCTAGAACAGAAGATTTTAAGTGACGGAATAGTAACCTAGCATTTTAACTATTTTATACTTTCTTTATCAAAGAAAACACTCAATAGTTTATTACAATCTAGTTGGGACTAGTATAAAGTTAGACAGAATCCTTTGAACATCTAGTTTACCATACAGATGTATTATGATAAGAGAATATTAGCAAAATATGCATGTTTCAGACGCTTTAAATGACATAAAACAAATGAAACCATGAGATTATACTGATGATTGTTTTTGACAGAGAAGGATTACAAATTAAAAACACACCTTCTGTCACTTAGGCAAACACAAAAGCTTAAAAACTACGACACGTACATGCATGAATTGCGTTTACGTGACATAAGCGTGAACGCGTCAGAAATGACAATATATTTACGTAGACATGCAATGAAAATTTGCGCATATGTATGCATTTTATTATTGCATGCGAGAAGATACAAACATCATTTTAACGAACTCTTGCATAAATATGCAAGAAAATTCTAGAATAATCAAAAAACGAAGCATATGTAGCAATCATGCATGAATACATAGTAATATTTTCCAGCGATAAGATTCGAACATACATACTTTATTGTATAAGACGAACTTCTTTGTCGTGCGACTATCTACTTACATTAGAAGTACAATCAAAACTCAAGGATATTATGATGGTCTAATAAATATTAGGCACGCGTGTACATGAATGCTAATAATTGTGAAGAATTTAAAAAGAAAAAAGGTGAATGAGATTTCTCAGTTAGTATAGTCTGATTCTATAGGAAAATGATCTTATTTTAAATCTTTGTAGACATTGTAGCATTGAAAACATCTGAAAAATCTTCTCTATCTGTCACGACTGAACTGCATTCGTTTTATTAATAATTCAGGATGCACTTTGTTGAATAGCATTTATTCATTGAAAGTATGTCATATTTGTTTTGCAGACTTTCTAGGAGCATCGGTAATCATGATCATAAGTTTATGTATGGGTTGTGGTTCACTTCTCTATACTCTCAATAATCCAGATCCAAATACAACAATACGTGCATTTTGTAAATCACGTGTCTATATACTGCAGTCAACTTTTATAATGACTCGTTGGATGATAACTATTGCTTGTATTGATCGATATGCATTAAGTTCAAGAAATGCACGTCTGCGACAATTTGCACAAGTACATATTGCACGCCGTGCTGTTGTTATTATTATTTGTATTTGGCTTATCTTACCTATTCATACGATTGTGTTCTATGAGATACGTCCAGGTGCCGGTATTTGCGCTATTGTATATGATCGAACAGCGGCACTCTATCATAGTTCTTATACTATAATTACTGGTGGTATCTTTCCTTTGACAATCATGATTACATGTAGTCTACTCATTCGACATAATCTTGCCATTAAACGTAGTAAACGCGAAGAGCATGTAACCGAAAGTAATTTCGTTACTCAACGAACAAGTCATGAACGTATACAACGTACACGTGATCGACATGCATTAGCTATGTTATTTATACAAGTCATTGTCTACTGTTTCGTTCAAGCACCTCAATTAATCTATACACTTTATGCTGCTATAGTTAGCAATGTTCCAAATAAGTCACCTGACCGTTTAGCTATTGAACGATTCTCATTTTTTTTTGCTAAATTGTGTGTCTATCTATTTCCTGTTACAGCATTCTATTTATATATACTAGTGTCGCGAAGTTTTCGAGCCGAACTATTCAATATTGTAAATGCATCAACTATGGTATGTTGCCGTC